TCTGATGGTTGGTGTGTGTATTTGTTATGGTTAGAGTGAAGTGCTCACAAAAGGCAATTAACCTGTGTGCGTGTGTGTATGTGCATGCGTGCATATTTTTGTGTGTGTATGAAGGCAAATATAATTACCAGTTGACTTTTGAAGAATAAACAAATTACATTAAAAATATTATTATTATTATTCTAACTGATAGACCCACACATTAAACATTATAAACATTATAACATATACCAATATTGGCATATAAGTATTGACCGGTGTGTGTATATTTATTTTTTTAATTCAATTTTTTAAATTTTTTTATTTTGATATATTTTTGGGCGGGGCCTGTAAGAAATAAATGAAATTGTTTTTAAATTATTTTCACTCATTCACAGGTCAGTTGCCTTTATTCCTGATTTACCTGAGGTACACAGTACCTGCTAAATGTAATGAACCTTCTTTTTAATATTTCCTTGTCATTTTATTGAAAAACAATTCATTTTTCTCACTTTTTCATGTCTTTAGACTTTTTTTTTTAAATTCTAACCCTAAGTTTTTTACCAAAGGTTTATTGTTTAGTAACAACAGTCGGTTTATTGGTTGTTCCTCGTTTCCCTTTACATCAGTGACATCAGTGGTCATAACCCGTCCTCCCCCTTTGATCCAGGTAATAGTTCCTTGACCCAAATCAGATGATAGCCACACACACTGACACACACGCACACACATGGTCAGAGAGTGGATCTCTCCGACCCTCCTTCCAGCTCTTCTGACTGGCGACTCAGCTCCGTCTGATGAGTCTTTATAAATACTGACGTGCTGTAAACTCGTAGATCTGATTTCATCTGAGTGTCTGTGTTTTTGTCTCTGAGCACGTCTGTGTTCATGGGACTGTATTTGTTTGTCAGACGTTTGCAGCCAGCGTGAAGACAAGTTACTGCACAGATTAAAATACATTTCCTGAACAAATTCAGCATTTAATTTATTCAGATCTTGTCTTCATATGAACAGAGATTATGACTTTTTTTGGTTTAATCAAAAAGAAAACATTATCTTCAGTAATAAAAAAATAAACTTAGTTTCAGAGGAGTGAACAGGGAACAGGACAGGAAACCATTTTCACACCGGACTGTCCTGACCTCCGCTCTGAACTCTTACTGGAAATACTTGGGTAGCGTTAGTCACAGTGAGAGAGGGGACGGCAGTGGAGGAACTCATGAGACGGTTCCTCTGTCACAACATTACCTGAGAGAGAAAGAAGAAAGAGAAGGAGGAGGATTAAAAAAAAAGACCTGATGTGTTTTCCACCCTGATTCCTCTGTGACAGTAAATCTGGTGAAGTTTATTTTCTTTGCAGCATCTGGGTTTTATAAGGACTCTTTTAATTTGTTTTTGCTTTTTAATTTTGTTTTTTTTTTTTTTTTTCAAAAACCCTAACCAGTGGGGGATCCCATCTCTTTCCTTGTTTTCTTTTCTCTTGGTGTTCAGTCATTTAAAATCTCCTTTCTCTTTTCCTTGTTCCTTTTTCTTGTCTTTTTTTTCCATCTCTCCTACTTTAACCCTCAAGAAAGAAATGGTAGAAAGTGAAGAAAGAGACTTGTGCTGGTTTATCAACAGAATTAAAGAAAAATTATTATTTTATTCAGCAATTTAGGAAGTCAATTTCATTTTACCGCGACGTACGGATTCATACTTATGAATTCAAACTGTCTCTCTCTCTGTGCCTTCTCCCTCTGTCCCTCTCTCCCTCACTCCCTCTCTCCTCCACACCTTGCTTCTGTGCCCTCTCTGCATCTTATTTGAATCCTTGTGTCAGCCATGATACCTTAGTGTTTGTGTGGACATGTCAGTGTCTTCAGACCTCGTCCTCTCCTGTGTCGGCTGCTCGGTGGAGCACCCCCTCCCCCTCCCCCTCCTCCTCCTCCTCCCTTGTAGATGCAAATTCGGTATTAAGGAAGGGGGTGAGAAACATGAGATGCCGTGACACGGGGTGACCGAGAGGCAGAAAGAGAGTGCGAAGGATAAAGAGAGAGAGGCTTAATGTGAGAATAGAATGCAAATTTTGTCGAGGCGGAGAGGGATGTTTAGACGGACGGACACGTAGGAGAATGGATGGAGAGCTGGATGGATGGTGGGATTAGGGTTAGAAAGAAGGATGAGGGTCAGGTGACGGTGTGACTTTTGGCAGGGTTGTAGTTTTTCTCTAGACGATGGCGACGTGACTGGATTTGCATTGATGGATCTTCTTTCCACAGAGATGACAAGTATCAGCGTCTGAGCCCAACATGCTGCGGGTCATTAATCAAATCGTAGGCCTGTGACTGTAGAGCTGCAAAGATCAGAGGATGTTCATCTCTACCTCACTCTACCTCTCTCTCTTTAACTCTGAAGAAACCTTGGATGAACTTTTGTCTTTTAAACGATTGCCTATTTCACTCCTTCATTTATTTCTAATCTAAATCTAAATCTCCTGTGCAAAGGACTAGTTAAGACAAGAACTCAAACAGAAGTTCTACATGCAAAACAGAAGATTTTTTTATGAGCGTCTCTAAGCAGATATAAATGTATCTTAAATATCCATAGTACTTTGCCCTAACTATAATAAAAACTTTCATTTAAATATTAATAATTAATATTAGGTTGATGGATTCATGGGTGTTGATGGAATTCTATTCTTATGTTTCTGGTTAAATATTTAACCTTAAACATAAACATTAAATTTTGTCATGCTGTCATCATGAATTCTTCAGGTTTCAGTTTTTATGTGATGTGAAACTTTCGTCTCGTTTTTTTTTTTTTTTTTTTTGTCCGTGACCTTCCAGCAGATGCACCTTAACCTTAACTCAGCGCCCCCTTCAGTCTGTGTTTTCACGTATCGTCTTCTGCCACTACGTGATCTCCGACACATTCCACATCGGCTCAGCTTCACTGTCTGGGAATTCAGTAAGTTTGAGAGGCCTTCGTCACCCCCACATCTCACTGCAGCTACACCTGTTCTACAATCCTGTCTTTATAAGAAGTCATTTTTTAAGGCTCCGTTGACAATGACAGAAAATGAAGAAATCCAAAAAATAAAACAATAATAATTAGACTTGAACCCCTCGGTCCAAACTTCTCACCCATCGACTCCCAGGAAGCTAAAGCTTCATTGTTTCCTGTACGGAGACATTTTGTCTTGGTCTTCTTCCTTCGCTCAACACAAAAGGTGGCTGCCCCGGGTCTTGGGGTGTAGTACTGTTGAGGGGAAGTGGGGGGGGGGGCGCTTTCAGGAACTAGTCTGAGTGCAGTCGTCTGTTAGTCTGACCAAATGAGGAATAAAAGGAAATGAAGGACAGGTTTGTGTAATGGCCTCCTCTCTCCCCCTGAGAAGGTCACGCAGCATTGTTGGTCAGCGGAGGTCTAAGAGAAGGGTCTTTGGAGAACCACAAAGAGGAGGTTTGGCAGGACTAATGAAACTCAGAGCCGCACGTTAATGATCTAAAAGACTGCACCAAAACACTCAGCAGTCCCTTTCCGCTCGCATTCAGCCTCCTCTTGATCGCTCCTTCCAAATAATGACAAGCTACTCAGCCGCTCTACCTTTATTGTAACCTTTGATGTCTGCTTTGTTTTCTTTGTCTCCGCGTCCCCCTCCCTCCTTTTCATTCCTTTATGTTACGCGGCTGCCACTCATCTATTAGGGTAACAAATCGAACGGGAGGTGGGGGGGGTGAGAGGAGGGTTTTTGTGGGTGGTGCACCGTTCTGCTTTTTTTTTTTTTTTTAAAGCACTTGAACTTGGAATTTTTCCTGAGTCGGCCCGTTGGATTTGTAGTGTACAATTGTAGCTATTGTCACAGGGTTTCAGGTGTTTGTTTTCTTTCCACAATCCTACCCCCCCACCCTCCGCCCACCCCTTGTCCAGAAGAAATATCTAATGTCTCTTCATTTGGTGGAATAAATATCACTAAAGACAATAATTGCAGTTGCTACGCTTGCTGCGGGTCAGCAAACATTTTTCTTTTCCATGTTGCTTTTTATTCCGACAATATAAGGTCGTGTCCAACTGTTGGGGATTTGGAAAGTATTTTAGACGTAAACACCTAAAAATACGGTTCGGTGTTTGGAAGGCAAATATTTAAAACCATAATCAAAACAAAAGTTTAATGGGAAAAAAACAGATGAAACTAGGATTTTTATCTTGTTAGGGTAATCACTGAGATGATTGGAATGAAATATTTTTTGGCTCCTTATTTTTTTTATTTTTTTTTATTTATCTATTTAATTTTTTATCTGTGTTCACATTCTTTAACAAACGACTTTTTATAACTACTCCAAATGTATTTCATCAATGACATATAGTATACTATATATATATTGATCTCAGTATTTCAGTACTGCAGTTGTATGCAAATAATCTGTAGTATAATGTCAAGTGTGTTGAAAAGTACCACGTACCATAGTCACAGAGTTAAAGTATTAAGATTCCCTGTCGACATGGCCTGATTAACTTGGCTGGAGCTGCAAAGGATATGTCAGAGGAGATGAGGTTGAGTGTGTGTGTGTCTTTGGGTGTGTGTGTGTGTGTGTGTGTAGGGCCTGTTGATTGGCCTTGGGTGAGAGACTCTGTGGTACCCGGAGCAGAGCTCAAACGCTCCTAATGTGGCATCTTGAGCTGGTTATTTCCACTCATTCCTCTGGAGGCCTTGAACCCTATGTGTGCGTTGTGTGTGTGTGTTATTCTCTGCCTGTATACAAGAGAAGGGTTTGGAAGAGAAAGGGAGAAAAAAAAAAAAATCCCGGCACAAAATATTCAAACAAAGCTATTTTTCTTGCAGCCAAAGTGTTTGTGTTTCCTGCTGGACTTCGTCTCTGCCTCACAACTGAACCTGATTGTGTAAATGAAATGGAAACATTTACCTTCTTTACAAATGGCCGTGTTTACAGTTTCATGTTTTGCTGTGTATCATTTGTAATGTGCTATTTACAGGATTTATAATGAATGAATAAATAAACTAATAAATATGTGTGTGTTTTCAGCCAAACTGAACAACCAGGACTCCTACAACAACTTCACCAACAACAACATGGGGAACCCTCGTCTGTCCCCGCTGCCCAGTCTGACCGTGGTGCTGCCTCTGGCCCAGATCAAACAGCCCATGACCTTAGGAACCATCACTAAACGCACCGGGTAGGTGACACCTCTGTACAGCATTTTAATAGGAAATTTAAAAAAAAATCTATAGAATTATTTCCACTGGTAAAAGCAATTCTTTACATTTTTTAAGCAATGATGTGCAGCGAGTGATTACCATAAAAGTTTGAACGTCTTCCACAAAGATCTGTTATTAGATCAAACCTTTGAAAACAAAAAAGGAGAAAAACACCATGAATATTTTTTGAAGATTTTTAAAACATTTTTACCACTGAGTCATATTATCTTTTCCACGAGCGATGAATCAAACTGATGCAGGTTTGCAAGTTTAATATCAGACCTTTCTTCATGTTTAAAAGTGTGTTCTGTATATTCTTAACAGCATGTAAAAGCCATTGCCTTAAAAAAACAAATGAAATTGAGATCATTATGGCAAGACAGAAGGTTTTAGCACACACTCGGTGTCTATCAGTCCAAGGCCTCTCCCTTGAATACTGTATTAACCCCAGCCTTTCACATCAGTGATGTTAAACCTGGGACATGTCTCTCCAGTCATTTTAGATGAGGGGGACATTCAGTATTTGCCTGTCAGCTTTGAATTTCTCCAACATTTTGAACTGTTTTCTATGAAAGGCGACCATCTGTGAAAACACACCTCGTCCTCCGACATCGTTTTATTTGGTTCTTTACCGTGCACCGTGATCGTGTAGGTTTAAGGCCCGGGGCCTTTACAGGCCTTTTACTAAATGCATTTACATACAGTACAGGTGGCTCCACAAATACGGGCCCATTTTAATGGTGTCATTTAAATGTGATTTTCATGCCCTGTTTGAATGGGAAATGCTCTAATGATCCAACAGACGCCGAGGGGCATTTATTTCTGCGGGATATCCGACTCAAAGTCAGCTTTGAGAGTGAAAATAGAGTCGTGATGCTGCGGTCGGCCCAAACTCCAGCCCATTGGCTCGCTCCTTACGATGACTTGTGCAGTTCATTTGGCTTGTAAAATGTGTTCTTCTCATAGACGGCTGCGCTCTCCTTATCTGCCATATTTATTAGGTTTTACATGAGTATCGTACCGTGTGATTATATATTCTAATGCAGCTGTTGTTTTTTTGTTTTGTTTTTTTTTAGTATTTAAACTGTGGTACTGCCATTTTTGGAAAGAGTACTACGTCCTGAAGTATTATTTTTATAGAAATGCAACAAAAGACTCGTTCATAAAAATAGAAATTCAATTTTTCCAGAACAAAAACAGTTTTGTTAATATTACTGTTTCAACTAACAGTATATATACATATATTGTATATAAAATATTTTCATGACTTTTCAGCGTAGAATCCCAGATGTTCTTATTATAACTTTATGAATGAAATTACACCTTTAATACAGTAAACTGCCAAAGCTTACAGTTTGGACAATAAAATAATAAATAAAATTAAAAACACAAACAATTTTTTTTTTTTTTTACTTAAATCCTTTTAAGACAGAGGACAGTTGTTTTTGCTCTTTTGTGAACTCGTATCTTCCCATTTTTGTCTCATTAATAACTAATCAGTCTGTGGTCTCCTCTGTCTGATCGTCATCTTCATGAAGCTCCATTTTAACATAACTGCTGAAACAGAAACTACATAAAATCATTTTTGATTTTCCTCTCCCACAACTGTTTGTAGTGTGTAGGAGTTTGTAGGATTCTTTTTTATTATTATTTAATGCTCCAAACATTTTTACATTTACAATTTAAAAAAAAAATCATCATTATCTTTTTTTATTATTTATTATAACAATTTACTGCATCAAACCTACTTTTTAACATTTTAATTATTGATTTAATTTTACATTTAATCTTTGACTTCTAAAACATGGAAACATTCAGATGTCTTGTCTGTTGCCTCTAGAGCAGCTTCAGGAGTTTTTTTTTTCTTTGCTACTGTCCATCTGTCTTCAGGAGTGAGTTAGTCATCAGGAGTTAGTCATCAGGAGCTGGTAATCAGCATTAATGCAAGAGGACATGCAGCTGTGACGCCGGCTTATTAATGCAAGAGGACATGCAGCTGTGATGCCGGCTTCTGCATGTACAGAGCTGTGACACACACACACACACACACACACACACCGAGTGAGGCAGCAGGTTTGGCTCACAGTGTGGGGGTGTTGTATGCTTTCATGCTATAGGTGCACAGGCACCATCTGTCTGCCTGCCTGTGTGTGTGTGTGTGTTGGGTGGAGGGGTGTGAGAGAGGGTGGAGGGGGGGCATCCAGCAGCGGAGAGCCCCCTCTGTTCGGCCTGCTGTGTGGTGTGTGTGTGGGGGGGGGGGAGGTGGGGGGGGGGCATCCAGCAGCTGTATTCAGATTCACACCTGTATGAACAGATCCCTCTTGGCAGAGCAGCAGGACAGCGCACATGCCTCGGCTTTGTTTTGTGTACGACAGCGCCATCTCTCACATCCATGCACACATGCATGGATGTGATGTACTTGGCCAGTCAGGGAGGGATACTTCCACAGACCACTGACGGGGTCTCGGACCACCGCTGTGTACTGTAAAAATATGCGGCTATTCCTCTTCAAAGTGTTATCATCAAAGGAAATCTCAGTGGGTTCATTCACCGCCCCCTCCTGTCTTCATTTATTTAGATTCTGCTCTTATCCCCCTGCTCATGCAGGGAGGTAGAGTCGGATGTAGCTCCACATCCGACTGATAACCTCACCCGAGAAAAAGGCCGAGTCAGGGAGTAGAGGAGCTGGGCCCGGCTTCTGTGAGTCCTCACCGTCTCCGGGGAGTGCTGGACATGTAGTTCAGACTCGATGCTGACCCCCGGGGGCTGTTGTTTAACTTGTCCTGTCAGCCAAATTTAGACCCAGATGAATTCAATCCTTCATAAATGTATTTTCTTTGCTGTGAAAAGTCACTGTTAGAGCAACAATTAGGAGAGAAAATATCCGGCAACTCCCATGAAAAGTCCACTGTCCACCTCCCATCGGTAGAAGAATTCCATGAGGACAGAGCATCTTTTTCTCACTGATCTACAAAAAGGCATTTTATTAACCTTATCCCTAACTTAGATGGTTTAGATAGTTCAGGGGTCCTCACCGTGGTGCCCGCGGTGTATGTCCTGTAAATTCACATTCACACTGAACGGCCCATTAGCCAAAGCAGGGATTCAAACCAGCGGCACAACCACCACTCCACTGTTTTGCTGATGGTCTGTGCTGTTGATGGTCCGTGGGTCACGTGACACCTTATCTAACCATGGTTTAGAAAACGTGGTTAACCAGATGTAAAGATCGTTTCACTCGTGACCAAATCCTACAGATGGCGTTCAAACTGGACGCGGACGCGAGTGCGTACGAGGTAGCGGCAAAGACAACAGGAAGGAAACGAATGAGACCCTGTGACCTGACGGACAGATGTGTGTGGTTAGATTACTGTAATACACACAATGCAAAGAGCCATTGTTGCACTGAGAGCTGGGCTAAAACCACGGCTTTAACAACGCAGCAGCAGCAGCATCACTTAACCATTGGCACAAATCACCTTCCTCCCCTCCGTGTTTTTAATAGCCCAGGCGGAGCTGCTATTAGATGAATGTGTGAACGGTTATTCCCTGGGAGTGGGGTCGTCGCCCTCGCAGGTCCATTACACTTGCTGTTTTCCTCTGGCTCTCTCCAGCTGCTCTCCACCCTCTCTTTGTGCCGCCTCCGTGGGGCAGCACCACTCAGTCTTCCACCCCTTTTACTCCACTGACCCATGTTTAACTTGTGTTTCCAAACACACCGCTGGCCCAGTGGGACACTTCCCGGCCCGACCTGCCGGGTCACGCTGTGAGTCACACAGCTGAATGGGCTGGGTCCATGCACTGTGGTTAGCATTACAAACTGCTGGTTTAACGTGGTAAAAAAAAAACAAAAAAACATTGTGACCTCAAAGTTGTTTTATTCAAAAATGTTTACAAAGTTTGTAAACATTTTTGGTAACACGTTACTTCTATTGCTGTATTAAAAATAGAAACCAAATAGAAACCTGCTTTCTGCCTCATCAAAATAAATTCAACTAGTTCTAAATCTAAGAGAGAAAAGAAAGAGTACTGTGTAGAAGTGTAATACTGAGTAACTGAGGACTCCTTGACCTTTGCCCCTTCCCTGGTGATCCCATCCCATTTGTCCATCACTCTCCCACTGGTGCCCGTCCATTTACCCAGCTGGAGGTCCAGCGTTTGGACTCAGCGGGTTTTATATGGACGGTTCACACCCCCTCCGCAGCCCGCTGATGTAAGTGGCAGTTTAGCAGGGGCCTCCATTACACCCACCACTGTGTTCATTTGTCAACTTTCGCTCTGGGAACAAGACATTCCAGGGGCAACATGTAGCTCCTCTTCTCCCAGAGGAACATTTTTCTACCCATCCATGGACCGAGACTAATTGGAGACAGCGTGCGGTCGTTGTCGGGACCAGGGCGAATGCTGCCAAAATGACAGAATAGAGGAGTCCTGCAGAGTACTCTGTGGATACTGTTAGTACTGACCAGGGGAGGTTGGCCGACGAGGACAGAGTTCAGTCTCATCGGCCCTTTATTGCTGCAGGGAAAAGACTTATTTACTGTAAACTGTTTACGGAGCTCTGTCACTATCTCTGGACACGAAGGATAAACACAGGAACACACTCCCACAGCTAATGCCTTGTAAACACCAGAAACACGCACAGACTGACAGACACAAATACACCCTGAAAAAGATGCAGCACTTTGGATGGGTTCCTCTCTGGCCGACTTCCACACACACACACACACACACACACACACACACACACACACACACCATTTTACAAGACAATGCATATCCATAAATACATACTTGGAACGAACAAACAAAGCGACAAGTGTAAACACAAAACTTCTTGTCTCAACAAGTGCTGTAAATTACTGCTGCATGTTTCATCCTTTTATTTACATTAATACAAAAAACTTCACTGAATATTTGTCACATTCACTTGGATTTAGACGTCCAGGTTCATAAATGAGGGAAAAAAAACATTTTTATGTGTTTATGTCCAATGACAACAAACAGCTGCAGACACGTGACATCCGCCACATACACGGTGTGAAATGTGACTTTACAAGATGAGTCATGGAGTCATGGAGCAGTGGCTTCAGGTTTTCAAATCTGTCCTGGGGAGCAGACACACGTTTCCTCCCTCATGTGTGTGTTGTGCACTTAAACAGACACACACACATCAAAAAAGTGTAATGTGAAAAGTGTGTTTGCTCAAGTGTGCATGTTTAATAATGGTTTTTCCATCTATCTCTGTATCCCCACCTCCCTCCCTCCCTCCCTCCGCCCTAACCTTTCGTGAAGACCCTACCTCTTTGGGGCAGGATGTTTTGCCATTAAAACTCCATGGTGAGTTTGTTTTCGCTCCTTCCCTCGCTCAGCAGCATGCAAGTGTTCTTCGCCGCAGCCCACCTCCTTTGTCTGCTGTTACGTTTTTAACTTTTAATGAAAAGTGGAAAAAAAAAAGTTTTATATTGTTTTGATTTTTTTCTTTAATTATTATTGTTTGCACATCATTTCTTTGGAGTGCCTCTGAGATGCAGGATGATCATCTGAAGTCATGACAGAGAGAATTTCCGTTGGCTTGAACAGTTCCGTGCGCTCGTGTGTGTCTGTATTTTGATTTGCAGTTCAAAGTCACATCTTGGCATGTTTTGTGTCCGTTTCATACGTAGGTGGTCGTCCAGGAGACGAGTCCAAGGCCTTGTGGCGATGCCGTCGCACGTCCTGTGTGGCTGCCATGTGGTTTCTTTGAGTAGGCATTTGAAAATGACATCTCTGTCTTTTTGTTCCCTCAGTTCAGACCCTCCATGGTGTTTTGTCAAGAATGACGCCTTTGTGTGAAACATATTGTTCACATTTTCCTTCAGTCCACTTTGGTCAAGATTTTTTCTTTTCCCGTCACTTGTGTGTGTGTGTGTGTGTGTGTGTGTGCGTGCTTTGCTGAATATGATCAGTGTTTACTGTGGGTTCAGAAATTTGATTTCTTCCATTTCAGTTGTGTGTTACAAAAAATGTGTCCTCCGTGAAGATTATCTTTAAAGGTTTAAGGTTTTTTTGTACTTTTGAAGACTCAAACTAACAGACCTGCCTGTTATTTTACACATTAAAACCACCTCCAAATATCATTGAGCTGGGCCAGACCCCCCTCCCCACACTCCTGAAGCTCTCTTTTTTTCCACCCGCCGTCACAACAGTTGGCTTCGGTGTTTAACCCTCTGCAGGTTACAGGGCAAACATCAAACTGTTTCAGACTGACTGCAATGCATCATGGTACATTTAACAGCTCGGGCCTCAGATGCATATCTTAGAAGAAGAAATTGAGCTTTTTATTTACTTTGCTGCAAATTTTGCTGCAAATAAGGCCACTGGAATACAGTGGTTTTTAAATTGTTCTTCAACAACAAACAAATTGTTGCTCATGATTTAGAATTAATTTAAAGTAAAATAAACCTGTCTTTTTTCACCCTTTAACTCTAAAATTACCTGAACAAAACCGATTAAAGCACTGTGACCCTTTGTATTAATCACTGTATTGCAAAGATAATTTTATGAGTAGAATGAGTTAAAACGACCTTACAACAACAGCAATCATTTTTAATGCTGAGATATTTTGTCCTCTTTAATCGTCGTAAGAAGCTCCCAGAGTGACAGGTTCACCCATGGAGGCTGAGGATTAAGTGTCTGAGAAAAACAAACTCTTTCTCCTGCCTGTTCACTCCATTTATTTGAGAAATGAGGAGCATGTGGTGTCTGACCCCAGCTCTTTGGTGTCATGTTTGGTTCTGTGCAGTCACTCATACATTTAACTTTTTTTTTTCTTCTATCAGCATTCAGTTCCTGTGTGATTTCAACTCTTTGTGTTTCTTAAACTATATATATATATTTTTTTGTAGAAACCAGGATTCAGAGCCTCGCTTTTATGGCTTTCTGTCAAACTTGGCTTGTTGTTTTAAAAGTTTTTTAATATATAGGTTCGGTTGCAATCTGTTTGGTTTTTTTTTTTTCTACCACATTTCACACCTGTAATTAAATCTCTTAAATTATGCATATAATTCCTTACTTTACCAATTGAATGAAAAGAAGTATAATTAATTATTGGATCAGTCTTTTAGGTCACAAGAGATAAAAACAGGTAAACAGTTTTGTAGATTTGAGAGGCCAATAGTTTCAAATAGTTTTCCTGTGTTTGTCATCAGTGTTGTGTGTAAAACACAGCCTGAAGGCGGCTCGTTTCCAAGGGCTCTTGAAAAATAATAACTGCGACATTGAAGGATGTGTCCTCCACATGACTTCACTCTCTTGTTCTCCGTCTATTATTCGCTCACTTCACTTTCTTCCTTACAGTCTCAACACGCCTTCAAGTCCCGATATGAATCAATCACGGGGCCAACAATTAGTGCAGCGGCGGCCCGGTCATTTTTCTGTCGCTGGCCGGCCGGCTGAAGTGAGCTCTGTCATATTTGTTTACTTCAAGGGCCTTGAAAATGAATGGACACGGCCGCTGGACTTCCATCCCCCCTCGGAGGCGCCTCATGTTGGCCCCGGATATAGTAATGCGAAAGGACTTTGATGGTTGATGTCACAGATTGAATTATGCCCTTGAGGAAAAGCTATTAGCTCAGTCAAGAGTCCTCGTTTGTTAAATTAAAAGTGGAAATGACATGTGAGTAGTCTCTTTAGTGAATTAAAGTTGCAAAAAATGGATTCGGCTGCTTAAAAGGCAACAGCACAGAAGGAAACCCTGACGAGGGAGGTAGGCAGGGAGGGAGAGAGGATGGGGGAGAGAAGTGGCTGTTGTTATGACACTCCTCCCTCCATGCTCCTTGATTCCCTCTTGGTATATTTAGGTTTTAAAATGTATCGATTCTGAATTATTTTATGTTTTTGTACCTTGGTGTCACGGCCGACCCGTCCACCACCGGTCCACTACATCCACGGTACGTTAGCTGCCGTGGCCATATGGAGACCAGAGTCGAGCCCCGGTCTGCTCGACATTTGCCTTTCTGTCGTAAGGGCAGAAACCTCAACACTTTTAAGCCGCATCCAGCGAGATCAAGAAGAACGAGAAAATTTAAAACACAGTTGAATAAACTTCAGTGGTTAGTGCAGCCGGAGGAGATGAGGAAGCAAGCTGTGATCTTCGCTGCTGCTGGCATGTGTGGCGCTGGCTGAAGCCTCTTCAAAGCAGCGTCGAACCCGGCTCATCATTTATGAAGCCACAGCCTGCTATTATAAGCTAACAAGTATACACACTGTTTGTGATTATACTTTGTTTGTGTGTATAATATATACAGTTGGGTCCAAAAGTATTTGGACTCTCTCTGATTCCCAAATAATTCTGTTTTAGCAGAGCTCGTATTTTTAATTCAAGGAATGAACGTCTGCGTAAACGACAACTTTTTGTCAAACCATGGAAAACTTTGCAAAAAAAAAAAATTGAACGTCACATTGCGTAATATTTCATTGAATATTTCTTGAAGTCTTATATGCACAGTAGCAACATGTTCTAATACCTGTGGCGCCTGGGCTACAGTGGTGCAGTGGTTTGACACCCATCTACCACCAGATGGCTCTGGTTTTGTTAAAATTAAGTCCTGAAATCCGGTGGAAAAAAAAACCTCTCCTTGATTCGTCGACTTGAGCGTGGTCTAATACCATGGAGAGTGAATGACATAGTCATAAAATGTCTGCTTAGCACTAGGCCGATTTCCAGACCGAGGGTTTGGTGTCATTTCCTCCGTATATTTGTATGAATATTAAGTGTAATGAAGACCTGTTGACACAGCGAGGAGAAACCCTGATCGTTCACTGAATCTGACCCTGAACATAACCACTTTCCATACCAGGAAATGGTTATCATCACCCTGGTTTCCCTAATTCAAGCCCAGAAGACACTTCCACTCCTCTCACATGTAAATTGGTAACATGGCTTGGGTTCAGAAACGCGAGCTCGCCGGTGTTTGCGGTTTTGCGTAAATGTACAGTGGCGACATACGATTCTGGCAACTGGGCGAAAATAATGGACACATGATACTTTAGACACACACATTTAAAACCTGATGTGATGGAGAACATTGTAGTACGAAGAGGAAAGAAAATATGTCTTTTTTTTTCAGATACTAACAGGCTGGACTGTGTTCAGGATAAACGTGTGTGTGGTCAGCGTGTGTGGTTACGACTTTCCTAAAATAATGGAGTAATCTCCACGGTGCCATTCAAATCTTTAGTTTTTTTTTTATACTTATACGCCATTGGCCCTGCAAGAAAACGTGTCAGATTGAAGCTTTCCTTTAAAATCAGACTTTCCTCTAAAATCACCGTCAATGTTACAAGGACACAGAAAAAAAAAGTAAAAAAGAGAGAATGCCTGGTTTATTCCTCAGCTCCATGCTCTTGAAAAAACAACCTTAGCTCGGGCTGAAAGAGGATTTGTGTTTCCTGGGTTATTGAAACCAGTGAACCGCAGAGACTTGGAGGCTTGAACGTATTTTCCAGTGTTGGATGGAGCTGCAGGGTTTTTATGTCAATTAAACACCTCACCAAAGACGAACTTACAAAACTCTTTTTGACAAAAGTAAAAAAAAAAAATCTGTTTTTTCTTCTTTTCACCAATGAAAACAAATTATATGGTGTTTGAAGTACAATAGAGCCCTTGTTTCCTCCTCTACTTTATTGAACGTGTCTGTAGTTATACTCTGAGCTGGACATTTGAACACTTTGGTGTCGGGCTTTTAAAGTTTTTCTGTGTTTGTCACACCGGGGGTTTGGAGCCAATCCCAGCAGTCGACTGGTGAGGCTGGGGTCCACCTCGGACAGTCCATCAGTCTGCTGTAGGGCCACCCATAGACACGTACCTGTGGTTAATTTAGAGGACTGATAAACCAAGGATTAAAGCCAAAACTAAACTGTCTATCCAACAAGCAAATTAGTTCCCAAAGTGAGGGTCGGGCTCCCCGAGTGGGCACGTTCATTTTCTGTACTTTAGGAACATAGAGTTAGATTGTTGACGTGTTACTGTAGGTCTGGGTTGAGATGGTCAAGGACATCCAGCATAAAAAAACTAAAAGAAATCACCATCCAGACCACCACTGTGGCGACCCTGATAAAGGGTCTAGCCAAAAGTTATTTGTTTAAAATTTTAATTTTAACTAGTCATTCATGACGTCAAGACTTCATTGCATGAGTGTTTCATATAGACTAAAATGTACAGTCCAGTCCATAAAGGAAGGAAGGAAGGATAGACAGTGAGGGCCGTGATATTGTCTGAGTCTCTCCTACTGCTTTTATACACCAATAAATGAGTGTAGTCAGGAGTGAGTGTTCTGTTTTAATGCCAGTGTGGTTTGTAAAGGTCAGGGTTAAGCGGGCCTCTGGGAGCGAGCGGCACCAGCTCGAGTCGTCGAGCCTTTGGCCCACCTCGTACCTGATCTGCTGTGACCACGTTTTACTGTCCAAGCTGGTTATAAGGCCAGACAATAATCCCAGAGCCGGCTACTGTTTTCTGATCAGTACCATATGGAGCGTCATTCTCCGCAGCTGAAAACTCTTTCTGCGTCCACTTCCTCCCAAATAGTCCTGACAAGCTGAATAATCCAATAACCTTTAATAGATTCTCTCCTGTGGCCGACCGTAAATGAAGCGGTGAGGAAACGCAGCTCAGATGATGCCGTTGTGAGGTGAACATTCATGAGAAATTGTATGGATTCATGGACGTCAGCTGATTCTGTATTGTTTCAAATCTGTACGTGTTTGTAGTGAGAGGATCAAATGTTGGCTCCTGAAGCAGGAAGAGTTAGGATTAATGTTGCTATGGTGATAATTCTCATGTACGCAGTGTTTTTTTTCTGTCATTTACACATTGATTATCACTTTTTTTTTTACAGTTTAGTTTGTATGCATGCCTTTCAGTTTAACCCCTGCTTAGCTTTCTCTATGCTTTTTTCTAAATGCACATCATGGAAACTGTGTTCCTGTTTATTGTTATCAGATGTTGTGGTGTATTTGGCTTCTCTTCTTCATTTAATGTGTAAAACTATGAAAACAAAAGTTCCTTTAATCAGGAAAAAGTCCAGCCGTTTGATTATTTAAAAAAAAAAAAAAAAACTTTGCCTAAGTTTTTTATTAATTCTCCGACTGTTGACTTATGACTCAGTTGTGCCTGTGATTCAGTTTTACTGTCTAATATAGGAAACATTGCAGGGAGCAGTAACAGAACCCCAGGCTCCACAGAACAGGTTTGTTTCATCCTAACACTGTTCTCTTTTTTTTTTTTTTCCTTTTCCCCACTTGAAGCAAAGCTAAGCCGCCCCCTCAGATCTCCCCGAGCAAATCCAGTGGAGGAGAGTTTTGTGTGGCCACCATCTTCGCTTCGTCCCGCTCCTGGCTCATCACCAACCCCAACATGAAACGGGAGAAAGGTCAGTGCGCGGTCACAGGTGCTTTTCAAATTTCAGTAGTCAGTAGAACTCCAACTCCAGCTTCTTATTTTTTGACAAATATCATTTTCATTGACATATTTTTTTTTTTTTGGAACTGTGTTGATTTTTCTCATCTCCTTGTTTCAACAGATCAGTCCAGGCAGTCAGTGGTGGATTCCTTGTACATCATTAGTTGCTACGGTAATCTGGTGGAGCACGTTTTAGAGCCTCGGCCAATCAGCACAGCTCAGAAGATCAGCGATGATACACCTCTGGAGCTCAGCACGTGTCCAAGAGCCTGCTGGACTCTGGCCAGGTAACACACACAGGACTGTTACAGTGTGTAGTGGAACAGTTGTTTCTAGAACCATCTTTCTGATACCTGATTTGCCATCCTGAACAGGACTCCACAGTGGAATGAGCTTCAGCCTCCGTTTAATTCAAACCACGGCCTGGTGCTGGCCTCGGACCTGGTGCAGCAGCATCAGTCTCTTCTGACTGGTGAGTGTCCTTGGAGTTCACACATTTACACACACACACACACACACACACACACACACACACACAGTCACAGATCGAGTCGAGCGTCAAAAGAAGCTTCTTGGTCCAGTTAAAATGCTTTTAGCCGGTCGTAACCTGAAAGTTTCGGCAGATTTATGCACATTTTAACCACTGTTTCTGATTTTAATTTGTACAAAAATAAACTCCCAGTAAAATAGTTTTTAAAGTAGTTACATATGTTTTTATCCAAAATGTGAAATCCAAAGACACAACAGGGAAGAATGTGATGTATTTTTCCACACCACATTAATAAAAAAAATATAAATATTAAATATATAATAAAATATAATAAAAGCCTTATACATGCGGACCTCTGCCAAACATTACAGAAGACATCATACTTTAATAAGTCAAAATTAAGTTAAAAAAGCAAAAAGCAAGACAATGTAATTTCTTTCTTTCTTTCTATAAATGTGTGTGTGTGTGCAGTATATTTATGCGGTATATATTCAAAATATATTTATATACATATTTTTATATACAGAAATTTTGCACTTTTAGTTTTTTTATTCATTATGTTTGTTTGACATATATTTAGTTACCTTTGCAAACATAAAATCTTAAAAATCGATATTTCCAGTCTAAATTGAGCTAAAAGACAAGACAAAAAAATTAGATAATAAATCTGTTAGAGGGAGTGAAGTGCTGTCTGTGTGTGTGTGTGTGTGTTCACTGATTTCACGCATCATTAAATATACGTCTTAGTGTGTTTTGGTTTCACGGTCTCTCAGGAACTTGTATGTTTTCTGTATGCTTTAACGTCCATGTGGTGATCACCGCCTCCTGCTGATTGTCCTTTTTGTTGAGTTGAAAGCCAGTCCTCCACCTCTTACTTGCGCCCCCTGCAGTGAGGAGGCCACCAGTCAGCAGCATTAAGAGTTCCTCTCTGTGATATGTTCACCATCTCCTCTGTTTTATTCCCTTCGAGTCACAAACCACCATGTGGTGGTGCGCTTTATCATCCGTTCCCCCCTTCGTGCCCCCCGCTGTCCATGCTGCACACCTGCTTCAGGACATGCTGCTGCACATCGCCACACACTGGCCAATTAGCCGACACCCTAAACACTCTGTAATTTAGTCATAACTACACAGCAATGAACACTTTCGGCTCCTGCAGGAAAGGCCGTGTCGTAAAAGCGGCGAGAGCGCACGGACGGCCACACACGGAATCAATCCGCCCCAGTGAAACAGGCTGCTGTTTTGAACCCACTCCATAATTATAAACACACAAAATCTGTAATTAGTCCTTGCGGGTCCTGCAGGGCAATTAGTGGCTGTATTTACCCTAATTCTTCTTTTCTGCTATCTGTTGCCTCTCTGCTGTGCCTCAGGTCTCTCTGGTAGGAAATGTTCTTACATTAGTGCTAATGATCTCTCCTAGTGTCAGAGCAATGAGGGTGAGTGGTGGTGACGAGCATGGGCATGAGTCTGTTACACTATTTTTGGTGCCAGCCGAGGCAGAGGAGGCGGATGCACAGGACACTGAGAGGTTCAATCTGATTAATGATGACCAAATAACAGGACTCCATCTCGTTGTTTTTATCTAAACGATGGCTCGTACTTTATAGACATAATTGCTCAGCCTTCTACCCACTTCTTGAGCGTCTGCCATTTTCCTTTGAGCTCAGTGTCTTTCAGCGCACCACTGGCGCCTGGATCTCTCCTGAAGTGCCACCTTCTATTTCTCTTCGTTTGCACTTCACTTCGGCTGCTCACATCCTCTTACCAGCCGCCTGCTCTGTCAATTCTTTCAGGGCTTGGCATTACAACATAGGAGTAAGTCCGGAGGAAGGGAATTATGGGAAAGCCATACGGTCCTCGTCTAGCCACCTCTTGCTGGGCATAATATAATAATAGGCTGCAGCGAGGGGAAAAAAAAAATCCAGCGGCAGTTTTATCTGCAGTAGACTTGGTTTTAAGTGTTGATCATGAAACACAAATACCAGAAATAAAGTCAGTCGTTAAACATAAAGGAGAACATCTCTTTAAACATGTTAGAAGGCAAATTGGTGTCAGCGTTTGAGTGACAGGCCGTGGTCTCCGGTCTCCTGTCTCTATATTGGATGGCCCGGGCTGATTAAAAATGCAGTATGCAGGGAAAGGAATAGGAAGAGGAGAGGAAGGGCCAGGGTCAGGCCAGACCGGAGCCTCTAGGATGGAATGATAAAAGGCGCTGGTGGCGCCACTTCATGGTCACTATCTCCACCTGTCCATCTACAGCAGCTACTGGCAGCACTCAGCCCCACGGAGGTTGGCAACGGACAGCACAGCCTCAGAGAGAGATAAAGACCAAGAAGACAGTACACAGTAACTGCAGTTCTGCAGCTTGGCTTTATTAAAAGCAGGTTTTAGTGTTGAGTCAACAATACTGTATATGTGGAAAAATATATTTAAAGTTTTTTTTTTCAATTTTGAGGCCATTGGTTTCATTTTTTGATTTTTTTTTTTTTTTTAATTTTCCGACACCAATGTTTGGTACAGAACCAATTGATTAATTAGTGAATAGTTTACCGTTTTGTTTTTATGACTGGCTCCTGTCAGCCTGATGATGATGGTAGAAACGAGTGGCTGTTCTTTTTAGACCAAAGCTCTCTCCCTTCACTCCTCCCCTCTCCCCTCTCTACCTGTCATATAATGTGCTAATTGTGGAGACTGACTGACTCAGCTGCTCTCCTGGGACGTTGAGGCCCATGACAGGCCAGCCACAGTTGCCTCGTCAATAGATCTAATTGCTCAAAAGAGAGAGAGAGAGAGAGAGAGGGGCCATAGCGAAGGCTTTGGAGCATCAGGCGTTTGGTAAAAAGAAACTCTGGCGCCATGACTGGCTCAGTAATCAAAGAGAGGCTGAGAAAGAATGGATGGGGTAAGTGTAGTGCTGGGCCAGATGAAGGAACTGTCAGTCAAATACACCTTGAGTGATGTATAATGACTGAGCTATTTCAGTCTGTCAGTGCGCCAGCATCTATCTGCCAGAGAACTACTCCAAGGAAGAAAGTGAGAAGAGAGAAAAGTGAGAAGAGAGAAAAGTGAGAAGAGAGACAGGTGGTGCCATCGGATGGAAGCCAAGGCCGAGATGGCAGGTCGAAGAAGAGAGAGGAGAAATAAAGGACGTCCATTTGTAAAGAAATAAATAACATAAAAGAGATAAAAAAGAATTGAACACAGCCGACAGTCCAGACAGGATGGCTATCCCCTGCCCAGCCTTGTAGCCGGTTTTCCAGATCTATCAGATTGTTTGGTCCTTATCTCCTCCACAGATCTGTCTGTCCGGCCCCAGGCCCCGGGAGGTTGAACTACATCAATACCTAGCAGGTAGCTTTGTTCTCGTTCTGACTCCCTGCTCCACTGCTCCGGTTGACAGGCCACCGGCTACAGGCCTTCAGTGTGGAGCAAAACACCACCCTGTCCACAGTCAATAAAGACGGCGACACAGACGACTCTGTTCTCAGCTCCGCAGGCAAGGTTTCCTTTGTACCAGCATAATCGTCAGAGTGATAATAAAAGGAACAAATTAGAAGACAGGGAGTCTACCATGTCACAGTGCTTCGATTGTAAAGAGGCCCTGGTAGGAGGTGATTGGACAAATGTAGTTTATCTTTGTAAACAACAAGCGCTGAACAAATAAAACATAAACTGGCCCCAAATCGTCATTTAAATATGTTCATTTTATTTTAAAATACAGGGAGTCCTCAGTTTACGATGCCCTCGTCGTCATTTAAATATGTTCATTTTATTTCAAAATACAGGGAGTTCTCAGTTTATGATGCCTCTGAGCTAAAGTGTTTCGGGGTTACGTCGCCATATCCCATTAATTTATTAAGAAAGTCATGTACCAGCATTCCGACCTATGACGTTAAAACAAATTACTCATTAAAACTAGTCGGCGAGCAGAGCAGACAAACACGTCGCCACCTGGTGCTGTACACATAATTTACAATTTATTAACATTCTCCAGGTTTTGCTACAAGCAAAATAATCATCTACTTTAAATAAAAAGGGCCGTCTACTTTTTATTTAAGGTAGACAGCCCTTTATTGTAAAATTAACAGGTATTAAGTTAATCTTTACTTTAGGAGGAACGTTGGTGCAGTGATTCTAAGGTGTTCTTGTTCTTTTTTTTTTTCCTCTTTAATTTGATAACAGGCTCATTTTCTCTTCCTCTTTTCTTCAGCCTTTCTTAGACAGGTACTCATTGGTAACTGCACCACAATTACAGGGTTGATTTGTTAGATTTTACTGCCACGGACCTGATGTGAGACCAGGCTTCTAATCTGGCCCCTGTAGTGTAGGATCCTGGCACACCCACCCATTTGTTCAGAGTAATTATCCAATGTAAAGTACGGTGTTTAGTGGTCAAGGCCATCATGACAGTCTGTGTGTCTGCTGCGTATTTATAGACACACAGTGACTCTTATGTATGTGCTAATACAGGTTATTATGGTCACAGCTTTACAGCTCTTCCCACTGAGGATCGCTTTGGTTATTACAAATGTTTAACTGACCCATAATGTATATATAATTTTAACAGTTTTGGAGTTTAGCCTCCAAAAACCCTAAGTGCATCAACATTACCTTTCCAAACCAAATAGTTAATATATTGATTTTTTTTCCCACTTTGTGCCTCTCTTATAACAACGTTAAAAATGATTTAACTACTGTGAAAAAATAAAATAATAATAATAAAATATATAATATAATTTTTTAAATATATTTGCATACATGATTAAATTACTAAAAGTCTGAAACTGTTCAACTGTGACACTGCACTTTGGTTTAAACTACTCTAATGGTTCAATGTGTTTAATCCACAACAATGGTACGATGCACCTTCATCATCCTTTCATTAAAACGTAATTAATAATTAACTTACTTGAAGCCAAAAGTTTAACCTTTTTTTTTTATGGGAAATGTAGACATGGTGGACAGTCCGAAAGTAGAGATATTAAAAAATAGAGCTGAAATTAGAAAATTATAATCAAATCAAGTTCCGTATGAAACTAACTAACCTAACCTAACTAACCTGTATTTTCAAAATTCTACATTAGAAAACAAATTCTCATGTTTATCCTGTTTAACTAACAGTTAACACTACAGTTGTATTCTGTTAGGTAGAAACACATATGTAGTTGTTTCTTTAAGAATATTGATTTAAAGAGAGAGAAAAAAATCTTACGCGTCCAAGGACGTACAGTACAATTAGTTTGCACTCTTGTTTTTCTGTCTGTGAATTTACATTGACATTCTGTCTCTAAGAGGCAGTAATGAGCGCTGTAAAAGCAGAGGTCAGAACGGCTGGCCGGTCCGACACACTGTAACTGCTGGGGTCAGTCTGGCTCCTAACATGCACCACACATTAACACACACACACAGAGTCAGAGTGTCTTTCTTGACTCGTGGTGATGACCACTAGCTCCCCTCACTGGAGCTCTGACCATTGAGAGCTCCCCCCACTGGAAACTTGAGCTAGCCGCTCCACCAACTGCTGCACAACATCAATAATTAATTAAGGAACAGCTATTGGCCCCAAGGGTCAAAGAGCAGAGGGAGGGAGAGAAAGGGTGAGGGAGCGGGTAAGGAGTGGATGGCGTTTGTTTAATGAATAACTCAACAAAGACTTTGTTTTTCTCTTGATCGTCACTGTCTCCTCCACTGTGTACATTTAAACATCTTCATGTTCACGGTGTAAAGTATGGACTCAGAAGCTGTAGTTACACAGTATCATCTAAACCAGTGTTTCCTAAACTTTTTTTTCTAGGGGCACATATTTTAAAAGTCACAAACCTTCGTGACCCAAGTCAATAGACATTATTCATAAACTCCTGAAAAACATGATGGGAGACGACCCAAAAAAAAAAAAAAGACTCTTGCGACCCACCTGAGGGTCACGACCCAGTCTTTGGGAGTGTTTTGTTGACATAAATCTATTCAAATATTTATGAGTGTATACTTTATATATACTTATATAGTCATATTTATATAGTCATATACATATATACATACAAATATACATGTATTCTACATTAACAATGATGTAATTTTAATTTTTTGTTGTTTTGTTTGAAATAAGCTTGATTAATCATTATTACCAAAAATACTATTAATCCTCAGCAACCCTGTGAAACAGGTGTGAAATGGTGCAGAGAAGTCTTTTTCCCCAGTGGTGCATGGACACATGCTCTCTCAGTGGGTGGGTGTGTGGGTGTGTGTGGGTGGATGTGTGTGTGTGTGGATGGAGGCACAAGCGCCTCCTGTGTTCCAGATGTGGACTTTGACAAGTTTATTAGCCATTCCTGTGTCAATCCAAGCACATCTCCGTGTGGTGGGACACACAGACTGTTGCTACACATTAGGCCTCATTCTCCTCACCTGCTTAGTCAAGCCCGGGGGAGACCCATCTGTCCTGGGATCGCTTTGACAAACTCTCTCTTGTCTCATTTGAATGCAGCAGCAGGAAAGAGCTGAACAGCCTGGTGCAGTGTGTCAGATCAGACCCACAGTGGCTGGTGTTGGGATAATCACAAACAACTGGTTTAAACTGGTGATTACCTGCTCCTAATATCTTAAATCAGCAGTTCCCAACCTTTTAGAATTAGGTTTTGATCATCATAATTTTAAAAAGAGTAATTATATTTTTTTTTATCACAAAAATATTTAAAATCAATTCAGGTACGAGACATTTCCGTGGAAAAGACAAACACACAAAGGGGGTTGCCACCCAGGGATTGAAAAACACCTGACTTTTATTTTCAAGAATAACGATGTTCACACGACACAAACAGTATAACAGACATATATAATATAACATTCTTTTTGTAAATGAATACCTACATTCTAAGGTTTTCACTGGGATAAAACGTCAGTTTCTCGTATTTATTTATTTTCACACGACACAAACAATATAACAGACGCTGAGACCAGACTGGGTTTATTCATTTTGTAAACGAATACCTAAATTCGAATACCTAAAATTCTAAAATACCTAAATTCTAAAACATCAGTTTCTCGTATTTATTTATCTTTTCTCTTCTACTCGCCCACTGCTTGTCGTCCAGCCGTTCTCCAGACCGAGCTCTTGAACATGAGCAGCAAGTGCGTCACTGTAAACCCACGTTCCTCGATAGCAGCTGTCAGATATCAGCCAACCCTGAAGACCGTAACTCTTTTGAAATGTTTTGTCATCGTCCTGTCCCTGTAAATAGCTGATTGATAAATGTGCGATTCCACCGGCCGACTTTGATTTCACAGTCAGGTTGTATTCACTGATATCCCTCCTTATTCAGTGTCAGTGTCAGATTTTATTATCTTGGATGTTTTTACACGACGTTGCCGTAATGATATTGGACACTAAAACAAAAATATTGGCAGTTACTAAGAACTAAATATCAATACCGTCGTTGGGAATAACATCACAAAACTATTTCTGTGTCTGTGTGTTCTGTCAGTGATGCCTCCAGGAAGCCCAGGGCCAATCACGCGCCACGAGTCCTCAGACAGCCTGGCATCCAATCACAGCAGCCAAGAGGATGAAGAGTGGCTTTCTCAGGTAAAAAAAAACAAAACCCAAACACTTTAAACTATCTGTAGTAATGTCACTTTTTTAAAGCCTTCAAAATACTGTGCTGGTACTTATTTAGTCTGATGAGGTTGAAACCGTAGTTTACAGGCATTGAAACTAATCCAACATGCAGCTCCTCGGGTTGTTAACTCTCATAGCACTTAATGCCCGGTGCTGACAGACAGCCTGCAGTGCTACACTTTTACCATCAATAATTCCACCGAACGCATCAATGATTGAATCAAATTCGTCCCACTTAGATCACACACACACACACACACACACACACACACACACACAGAGGCTGAGGATCATATCTGCCCAGGAACATTTTTTGCCGGCAACAGAAGTGTCCATCAGTACTCATACAGTAGCACGGAGCGAGAGCAATCTGTAAACTTGAATCACCTGCATGTTGTGATTAATTACATTTACACTATAGTAATTAAAATATTCAAAGAAATGTGATTAACGAGGGTGTGTGGGGGGAGGAGGAATAATGAAAATGACAGTAAAGTGTTTGAAAAATCTTTATCATCACATCTGGTGACACAAATCTGTGCCAACATGTCACTCTATTTTTGACAAAGGGGGTTAGGAGGAGGGAGAGGTGGGGGGTAACAGAGCATTGACATTGGACTGTAACATCTGGGCCTTTCAGCCTCCAGCACAGAGCATCCTAACAGCTGTTCAGTTCTGCGTACGGGCGGGACGTTGATGGTGTTAACTGGCAAAGTACACACAATACACACAGTACACACAGACGGTGACGTGTCGTTGTCTTTCCGTGGCCTCATTTGAACAGCTGTGACCACAGTCAGAGATTCAGTCACAGTTTATTCATGTTAATTAATGATTACATTGTCAATTAATCTACATCTAATTTTCCCTTAAAGTTTGCCTTAAAATATCAGGATGGAAGATTCAACAACAGAATATTAACACTGTGATTAGCAACAGTCATCTCGTTCTGGTACAACAGTGAGAAAAACAAATAAAATGAAACCTAAAAAATTCTCAACACGTGGAGAACTTTCAAAAATGTGTGCGGCGACATGTGACGGTGGCAGGATTGAGGGGTGTGAACTCGGCCTCCTGTGTGAGCTGTTGGCACCTGGCAGCTAAAGTGGAGCGAGACTGTGTGCTGTGCAGGGTAAAGATAATGAAATGTGAACACTGAGACATCCAGAGACGTGTTAAGTGCAGCAGGGAATTGAAAAAGCCAGAGTTAGCGTGGCAGTAGTAGTGGAAGAAGAAAAGTGCCGGTCCCAGACAGAAGGAGGAATTCCAGAGAAGTGGAGACGAAGGAGAGATGGAGGACAACAGGAGTAATGATGTTCAATTTTGTGGAGTTTTTTCTTTTGCTGGAATCGGATCAAGAATCAGTGACACACCCACCACCCAGCAGAAGCTGATTTTATTGAGTTTTTTTACTGTGAAACTGTTACTACCTCCACGCTCCTGTGCGTCCACTGGGGAGCGTCCCCATCATCTGACATCACTGTCAGGCTGTGAGCGGTGCAGGAGCAGGTCAACATTTGACTTTAATGTGATGGGGTGTAGTCACTGCTGGCTTTGACCTGACTTTATAAACACAGATTACTCACTGAGATTCCTACTACTTTTCTGTCCCTGATTCCTGTTGAAAATACCAGTGTGATTAGCAATTACTAATTGCTAAATCTTGTCACACCTGCACACGTGGATTTTCTGTGTTTGTTTTGGTGCTGCATACACATTGAAAGGTTGCAGTAAATTTCTTATTGCCCCCTGGTGGGTCAATTTAATTTAATTTAATTTATTATTAATATCCCCAGGTGGAGATTGTGACCCACACCGGGCCACACCGACGCCTGTGGATGGGCCCACAGTTTCAGTTCAAGACCATCCATCCTTCAGGTCAGACCACAGTCATCTCCTCCTCTTCCTCAGTGCTCCAGTCCCACGGCCCCACTGACGTCCCACAGCCCCTGTTAGACTTTGACACAGACGACCTTGACCTTCACAGCCTCAGGTACGTGGATTTCTGCACCAGGAAATAAGATGCGTGAAAAGAAATGTCTACATTTTCTTTGATTCAGAAAACACACAGAAAGGTCTAAAGTTTGCCCCCCCCCCACAGGATCCAGCCTGTACGTTCAGAGCCCGTCAGCATGCCGGGGTCATCGGGACTGGTGTCTGATCGTCGAGGACAGTCCAACCTCCTGGACACAGGATCAGGTAGGTCACCTTAAACTGTTCACTGCACGGAGCCTGTGGCTTTAAAAACCAGGTGTTGATTGTTATAGTAATAACTTGAAGTGTCCTCATTGAAACATCTGTTTTAGTTTTAGTTTCTTCACGGTTGTTTATTGTTGTGGTCATATGGATGAGTTATTTTTTTTTTTTTTTTTTGCTGATTTCTGTTGTTATCAGTTGTGAAGTGGCTTTGTTGTCATCTGTGCTTTGAAATTCAGGCAGTTCTTAAAAAGAGACGCTCGACTTTATGCGTTTGTCACTGCTCAGAGCTCTCGTGGATTCTTCATCTTAATATTAGTGAAATAGAACTCAAACTTATATGGTGGTTGTTGGGCCTTTAAATTACTGTAGAGCGCAGGAAACCGTGTAAATGAATTAAAAAAATAATCTAAATATTATATATATTTGACATACCAGGTATTAATTAAGAAAGTAACTGTTTTTCGGCAAAAACAGTAAAAAGGAATTTTCTCTTATACTTGTTTTAGTTTCACCCCCGGAGTTCAGTTCATTTCCTGGTTCAAGTGTTTTTTTTCTTTGAAGAAGCTGAAACTACCGTCACCTCGGTCCAGTGACTGTGTGGACGTTGAAGGTTTTGTCACTTCCTCTGTGACTTCATATCTTCATGTGATGATGGCTTTATCTGCTGTGTCTTGTGACCGACGTCTTTGACCTGGTCTGCCCTCACTCTGACACAGAGACACTGTTCACTCAGGTGTCAGGAAATATTTACAGCTAGTTTTGAAGAAGGTGCGGCTCGAGTCGTCGAACGTGTCAGTTTTATCTCCTCCTGTTGTTTAACACCTTACACCAGAGTAAACAGATGACAGATACACTGTGTTGACCTGTTGTCTCTTTGACCTTTGACCCATTAACGTGCCACAGGTCACTAATTAAATATACAGCAGGACGGTTAATGCTGTAAAAAATATATTATAAAAAATATATTTGAACCTGTATTTGTATTATTTAACATGCAATAACCTTTAGGCATTTGCCTTTAGATTTTTAAATTATAAATCCAGCCTTAAAAATGTTTAAAATGACATGACATTTTCTTCCAAAAAAATAATATTGAAGCTAAATTGAAGATAAATTGTGAGATGTTTATTTATTTATACATTTATTTTAAATTTGTGACATTTTAATGCCTTTAGTTTTATTTGGAAGTACATATATATATGAATGGGGAGGGTGTACATGGAAACATACCTTAAATTACAAATATAATTTATTATATTGTCCATATAAGGTAATATCTTGAACATATTTTGAACATGTGTAGTTTATTTGAGCTTTGTTTTTTTTTTTTTTTTTTTTTTTTTTTCCTTCTTGCTCTTCTTAGTGAGACATTTGTGTATTTCATCATCTTCTTCGTTTGTTTTGGCCCCTGGTTTAAACAAACCCGACCAGAAAACGTCTGGTGGAAAAAGTCTGCTGAGCTGCACAGCAGTGAAATATTTGCGTTGCTTTCATCCTCACCTGTTAAACTATTTCACCCCGTGCGTCTGAGCCTCTGACCTCTGCTTTCACTCTCCTGAACTCCCGTCTCCTCTCCTCCATCCTTCTTCCTCCGTCTGCCAAGGATCATATATTTGTGGTTGCTGTGTCTCCAGCCACTGTCTCTTCACTCTCGTCACTGTAACTGCTGCAGAGCAGAGAGAACAGGAGGACAGAGTCTGGGCCAGGGATGAAGGTGATGCTTATCAGTGTGTGTGTGTGTGTGTGTGTCTGTGTGAGTGCGTACGCTCGTGCGCAAAGGGAGGGTTCAGTGTTGTGTCCTGCCACTGCCATGGCGCCGCCTCTTATCACACACATCACCTTTGTCTCACCCTGTGAAGAACAAGCCTGTGTGTGTGGCAGAATGTACCAATAAGACCTCTGGAGCCGATGGCTGGATTGTTTTGAAAAACCTCTGGTTGAGATCAGGTCTTTTCACGGATCTGCTGAATAAGTCATCGGCACGATCACAATAATCACTCTGTGAATGGATGATAGCTGTAGCTACTGTATGTATATGTAATAATTGACCAATGACATGACAGGTGTCGTTAAAATGTCTTAGCTACAGTTGATGGACCTGGCTTTAATTTAGCATAAGCTAAGACTCCACGTCTGTTACTGGAGCTGTTCTTGTAAAGTTAAAAAAAAAATTTAAAAACAGTACTTCATTCTTGTATTTTTAGGACCGTAATATTAAAGGTATTTTTATTTTAAACTTGAAAATGTGTTCTTGTAAAGTAAGAACTTCACCCATGTCAACTGAGGTGTGGATTTTTATTCTAGAACATGTAACACTTTATTCTGCAGGTATAACACCTTTAGCTTTATACGTTTATGGCCTGATTCTCATAATAATATTGTTTTATTATCACATTTAAGACTTTACTTTAATGACGCTGAAGGTTGCAAATGTATGTGAAACTTCAGTATAATGGTGTTGGCATGAAGTGTTTGATGCTGAACCTCCGGTGGAACACGGGGGAACAGCACCCGCTATAAACCTCGGGGTTTTTTTTTTTTTTTTTTTTTTTTTTTTTACTGTGACTCACTTACAGTCAGCCAGTCTCCCCGGTGTCTGCTCCCATCTTATCTCAACCCATACACTCTGCTTATCTCTGCCTTCCCTGAGGTGATGGGACACCGTCTGCATGACACACGCACAGACACAAACTCTGGCTCTGCCATCTTGACTCAGCGTAATTGACTCCATCAGGAGCCCCAGTCCGACACCGCCGTCTCGCTTTTCAACATCCACAACACACATGATCAATATGAAGATGCTATTGCTGTTATCAATACAGCCCCACCAGCCCCATCTGTCTGTCCGTGTCGTGCGCCGGTGTACGTGTGTGTTTGTTTGTGTGTAGCAGCAGCAGTTTCAGTCACAGCCAGACGACACAGTGGCATTTTTACGGCCCTGGAGGTCATATCAAGAAAGGCGGAAAGAAAGAACCAGAGACAGACCTGAAAGAGAGATAACACCTTAGCACCAAAAGAAAGAATCTTACCTTTGAGCTTGTGTGTGTCTGTCTGTCTGTGTGTGTGTGTGTGTGTGTGTATGTGTGTGTGCTGATAAATCTCCCTGTCGTCCTTCAGCACTAAATGCACTCATGTTTTGACTGTATGTAGAAAAACCACCCTGCTCCCAAACAGGAAATAACGATCTCTGTAGTGTCAGTGAGTTTGTTGTTGTCATCTTACATACTGTATGTATGTGTTTGTGGATCTCTCTCTCTCTTTCTCTCTCTCTCTCTCTCCGTGTGCATGTGTGTCCGTGTCCTTGTTGCCACATCTTTGCCCAGCTGTTTGTCTGCTCCGGTGATGCTCGTTTGTCATTTATCGTAGATTCTCTGATTGCATGTTAGCTGGCGGCAGAGCAAAGCTGAACAAAAAGGAAGCTGATTTATCACAATGCACCACACACACTTTTGGAGCGACGTACATCAAGATTGTTGGGACAATCTGAAGTATTCCGGCCGAGGCCAAGTGGGGGCGAGGGGGTGGCAGGAATCATCGAGGACGACTGAAACTTGGATGTTATTTTTTTTATCCTGGCTTTATGAAAACTCCTGCCCTCACGCCATGTTCCCTTTTGCCCTTATTTGTTCGAATGAACGACACAACAGACACGTAACACAGGTCATGTCAACATGCAGTCATTTACAGTAACACTACAGTCTTATTGGTCCATTTAACACAGATAGAACATTGAAAAACAATTTTGCACAAGGCACAAAAAAGTATCTGTTTTGTAAACACAGTGGTGGTTTACTCTTCCTCACTACTGGCTCTACGTAAAAAAAACACATGTTGACGTCACACACTGGTAAATAAATGAAAGAAACAGACTCAGTTTTTAGTATGATTTGATATTTAATCAAAGTATTTTTTTCTGAATGATGTCACTGCCGGTTAATTAAAACACAAATAAAACAGAATGACAACCATCAACATATATCCGAGGCATTAACCCATCGTATTCTGTCTTATTACAAACTTACACACTGTTGTTTCTCACAGTGGAATGAGTGAGTGTAAACACCATCCTATTAAGGCCAGAGTCCAATCGGTGTTAGATCAGCGTCTATCAGCCATTAGTCACATCCACCTCACACTATCTCAGCTCACTCACCTCCACTGTCAGCTACTGTGGGTGTGTGTGTAAGAGCTGGAGTGTTGGTGCTGCACTCAAGTTGAAATAAAAAAGAAAAAACATTTTTAGCTCTAACAGTTATATATATTGTATATATATTGAATAATCTCATTATCTTTTTTTTTAAATCTATGAATTATAGTGAATGACACTTGTATGGTTCATTTTTCTGCCTCTACAGTTAAATTCTTTTTTTTTCTTGCAGCTTCTTCTGATTTCACAGTTGAACATAATGAGTGTGAGAACTAGGGTCAAACGGACACACACTCCTCACTGTATACAGGTGTAAATGTGTGTCTGAAGGCCTGTTTGTCTGCCTTTGTCGTCCCTGCCCGGCGACTGCTCTGCTTTTTCTCTGACGTCAGACTGGGCTCCGCTCCAGCTCCCCTGTTAGTCCGAACAGGATGAACAGCTCAAAGATAAATGGTCGGATACAAGTTGTGAAGCGTGTGTCGATGTGTTTTTCCTATTTCCAGACAGCTATTCCCACCATTTGTTCCAAATCTGGAATGTGTGACCGGCTAAATTTTGTGAGAACCTGAAAAAAAAAATGAGAGAAAAAAAAAAAAACTCAGAAACCTGATTTTCACAGATTTATGTGAGGAGAAGAATCGGTGCCAGAAACTAGTTCTAGTTCTACTGGGGTAAAATGTTTGTCTTGAATCCACACTTTCAGTCATTCTTAATGTGTGTGCGTCTCTGTGTGAGTGTGTGTGTGTCTGTGTGTGTGCATGAATGCACCTGTTAGCAACACAGGGTCTCCTTGTTCCACTGACCCGACACCACCATCATCAGCACCACCCTGAGGCGAGAAGGGGTTTTCCCCCCATTTCACTCGACTCACACAGGCTGTGGGAGAAATAAAGGGACGGTTATAAATGACCGAATACCAAAAGATGAGTAGAGGGTCTTTGTGCCCCCCCACCACCACCTCCTGCCCCCGCGTCCACCAGTAACACACACTTGGCCTGCCATCTTTCCCTCCCTCCTCTCTCCTCCCCCCTTCATACCTGAGCAGCCGTTTAAAGAAGTGGGCACCTGTGCTGTGGTATTCTCCCCCTCGCTCTCGTTCCTAATACACACATACCGCAGTAACCTATACCCCACAATTACCTCCCCGCTGCCATAAAGAGCCCTTGTATTTTTGTGCCACGGCGGCCACTCTGACAACAGTGATTGTGCAGGACAGAAAGATGCCCCGGCCATCCGATCT